GGGTCGCGATTGCATTTGCCAATGCAGTGAACCGAGGAGAGTGGCGCGCTCTCAATTGGAACCCCACGAGCTTAAGCCAACAATTTCAAAGTACCGTATTTTCTGGCGTATAAGACGACTGGGCGTATAAGACGACCCCCGATTTTTGAGAAGATTTTCAGGGTTTAGAAAGTCGTCTTATACGCCGGAAAATACGGTAACAAACTCATGTACATTTGATTATTCAGTGCAAATTTTTCCTCTAATAGGAATTGCTAAAACTTTAGAATTTATGCTAATTTTACTTTTAAATACAATGCCATAATATTTGAGAACTTGATATATGTAAACATAGACACAAAATCAATTCTTTATTAGAGAAAGACATGCTAATACCTACCTTTGTTCAAATAATTTTTTTGAGAATTGTTCTTCCTAAAATAAGACCAAAATAAAGTTATTTTCACCACACTGTATTCTATAACGGGCCCTTATTTTACCTTCTGAAATAGAATGTTGTTGATCTACTTGTTATATTTGATCTTACCCTTATTTTTTTAGTACTCTGCTAATAGCTATGCTGCAGGGGATGAGATGGATAAATTTATATTTATTTATACTGAATGTATTCTTGGGAGTCTGGGACAAACCAGGTCTCTACAGGTAATACTCAGTTAATGATGGTAACTGGGACTGGAATTGCAGTCACTAAATGACACAGTCGCAAACAATGATGTCATGTGACTGCACTGCTTAACAAAAAGAATCCTGGCTGTCATTAAGAAAATCATTGCAAAAAAGGTTGTCATGTAACTGCCATTTGCAACCTCCTGCTGACTTCCCTATAGAGCAGTGGTTCTCAACCTTTTTAATGCCGCGACCCCAACCAGTCGTAAGTCGAGGACTAAACCGGTCGTAAGTCGAGGACTACCCAACCGGTCGTAAGTCGAGGACTTTCCCTGCCCGGGAGCGCCACGCATGCGTGGTTCCGCCCCCTGCGCCGGCCGAGGCGTAGCTGGCAAGCGGCAGAGACAGAGCAGGCCGACCACCAGCTGGCCCAGCCCAAGGGAAGTAAGGCACCCACCGAAAAAGGGGAAAAAAATGGCGGGGGAAAAAAATGGCGGACAAAAAAATGGCGGACAGCCTTGCTTGGCGACCCCCGTGAAATGGTCGATCGACCCCAAATGGGGTCCCGACCCACAGGTTGAGAACCACTGCTATAGAGCTTGCTTGCCAGAAACTGGCAAAGATGGTTGCCAATGACAACCATATGATTGTGGGACACTGTGATGGCCGGAATTCTGAGGACTAGTCATAAGTACCACTCATTCAGAGCAGGTTTGAATGGTCAATGAATGGTGGTTAACCAAGGGCCCACTGCACCTCTAGACTGATGCAGAGTTTTAGAGATTCCAATATTAATTAATAATAAATGAATGAATGAATAAATAAATATTCTAATAGCAAATCAAGATGCTCTAATTTCTTTGGCTAAATCGTCCCATGATGCTGATGCATTAAATTTTCAGACTTTACACTTTAAAGTTAGACTTTTATTTTAAAGCCTATGAGAATGTCCCCCCCCCCCCAATATTACCCACTTTGGGCTTGAATAGAAAGAAATGTGTCACAATAAAAACAACTGAGATTGTCTTTTCCAGCTTTGAAAGCTGCCAGATATATTTGGTCAGTTAAAGTAAACTAAGTTTAAAGTATTAAATTAAGTGGCTAACTTTCAATCCAAATTACATGAGAAATTGATGAGGAATCAACCTAATTTGAAGACAGAAGAGAAACTGTTTAACTGAAAGTTTAGGGCCAAGCAAGAGATAAATACCTTAGATCAGTTTATGGATAATGCTCATTATAAGGATTTCAGACAATGCTGAGTATAACTTAGCTAAATTATCTGCTTCGCAATACATATAATGAAAACATATATTGGTTAAACAATATAATCTAGATACTTCAGTTTCAGAGATACTTGGAATTCTAAAATCTTTAAGAGATACTGTACTTGAAGTGAAATCAGTAATAAAATTTAATTCAAAACAAAGAATATGATGAAGGTAATTGAGATGTGGAATGAGGAATTGGAATAACCAATTTTAGAAAATCAACGGGTCCAAATTTCAGGAAACATAAAATATGTATCTTAAGAATCAATTAAATTCAACAGAAAATAATGTGTTTATTAAGAACCTTGGCTCTACCGATCACAGAAAAAAAAATGTTCCCGATGTTAAAGATGTATCCCTTTATATTGATGTTTTAAATCTGTATTATAAAAATAAAAAGATGCAGCAATGCATGTGTTCTGGGCTTAATAAATCTAAGGACTGAATTAATTTTATTATATTAATATATGGCTCTTCTTTTTTCTTCTTTAATCACTGTAGTTACATACATAAGAAGAAGAGGAGGAGGAAGAAGAAGAGGAAAGAGGCGTTGGTGTGGTGGTAGCACTAGTAGCATATTCAGCACTGCACAGCAGCGTACATCATTCTTAGAAATACTTCTGAGGTTTATTTGGAGAAATTTGTATTTTTTAACTAGATTTTTCATCCAGACTTCATTACTGCACAGGTAATGCAAGGTGGTGAACGTACATAATATCCTTTCTCTATTTTCTCCACAACAGCAACCCAATAAGGTGGGCTGGGCTAAGCGAGTGTGACTAGCCCAAAGTCACCTAGCCAGCTTTCATGCCTAAGACAGAACTAGAACTCACAATCTTTTTAGCTGCTGCCTTAACCACGACATCAAAACGAGCTCTGTTATTTTGTTCTTCTCAAAAGTGAAATTCAATTATTTATAGCTGAGTTTTGGTATTTTCAATTACCAAAAATTTCAGTTCAATTTCCATTTCTCCATGGGTGACATTCAATTCACCACTACTGCAAGTATGTATACTTGTCTGAGACAATGGTTTATGACTAGGCCAGAGGTCCCCAACCTTTTGGGCACCAGGGACTGGTTTCGTGGAGAGAGGTTTTTCTGCGGAGCGGAGGGTGTGTGGTTTTGTGTGCTGCCTGCATCCCGCGGATGGGGCTTTGCTTCTTTGTGCAGACTGGTTGCTGGCATGCTGTGGCCCGGTACAGGTCCACGGACCAGGGGTTGGGGACCCCTGGACTAGGCCATCCTCACATTTTGAAGGCACTTACCTTATTTTTGACCTCATCTTCCTTGTGAGGTGAGAGGGCTCTATCTGGAGAAACACCTTTTTTCTTGCAAAGATTACCAGGGTTGTTTCTTTCAACCAACTGAAGCAGCGCCATTTGTCGCTGTGCTTTCTTTTCTTCACGCTGCTTTTGCTGGAGTCTGGGATATTTCTCAGAGGCCGGAATATATCTTTTGCAAGGTTTGTTTATGTTCCAGTCCACCTTTTTCTCATTTTTTCCCACTGCCTTGGGATGTTTCTGCTTTGGGGAATACTGTTCATAGGGATTGCAACTGCTGATAATATTCTCTTTTTCTGAAATCTTTTTATCTAGATATTGTGCTTCTTTCTTGCTTCTTTTATTGCTGAAGTCCATTATATATTCTACAGCAACATCTGGAGATGCGCAGTCCATTCTTCCTTCCCCAGCTGGTGTAGGGGAAATTTCAGAATCAGTGGGAAAATCAGTGATTGCAAACTCTAGCAAAAAAAAAGTTTAAATAATTCCTTCAAACATCACTCATAATAATTAACACTACTGCAAACATTTTACTCTGAATGCCAACTAAGATTAAAAAAAAATCAGCATTAGTAAACAAATTTAAAACTGGGGATGTTTATCCAAATTCTTAAAGTGGCCTTATCCAAGGTGAGTACATGACCACTAAATCCAATGGAAATCATCTCCAATATGAGACTGTAGTGAGAGTTACAGTATATTGGTAATAAATCTATTCTAACATAGTTTACCTTATAGAACTGGCAAAGCAACATTTCCTTCCAGGAAAAAAAAAACTTACTAATGCTATCCTACATTTTTTACAAGGAGAAGCGATTTGCTAACCTCCAGATGTTCTAATCTGAGAGACATTTTGGAAGTAGTGTCTAAATCAGCGGCAGCAATCTCTAGCCTATCAAAATATATATTTGGTGAACCTGCTTCCTCCTGACAGCTGTCAGGCCACTGCATTTTGAACAGAGTGCAGTTTCCGAGCAGTCTAATGGCAGACCCATATAAACTGTGTCACAGAAGGGCAAGGTGCAGTGTTATATGTCTTTTGATTGACCTGCATTTTCCAATTAACACTTTTTAAGTAAGGCTGCTTAAATAAGCTCATTCTATTTACTCTTGTAAGTTAGACAGAACTTTCTGCTCAACCTCCAATTAGTTATTTTACTCTTTTCTCCTGTTAGATGCCCAGTGCCTGCTGGGCACTTAGTTCTCTTTAATATGTAACCATCTTTTGATGATGTGTAAACTAAACAACTCTGTGGATGGAGGGGAAAAGAAAAGCTGCAGGGCTATAAATCATGCCGAAAGAAAGCAATCTCTTTGTGAGTTAAATTCCAGAGATCATCTCTATCTCTTGCACTCACCATGGCAATTGGGAAGGAGCCCTGTAATAATTAATTATGAGAATTTAAATAAACATAATGCTATTTGTATTAGTCCTGGCACTTCCTCTAATATCTTCCTCCTTTGATAGCTGATTGTAAATTCTAAACTAGCCAGCAACACAAAAAGGGCAGAAAATATTCTCCTCCAGGTCTCATTTACCCAAGAGTGTCATCTTGTGGGACTCTCTGCTATCAGTCCTCTGGAACAAGTACAAATAGTTCTTACAACCACACTTGAGCCCCAAATTTCTGTTGCTAAGTGAGACATTTGTTAAGTGAGGTTTGCCCCATTTTATGATTTTTTTTTCCACAGTTGTTAAGTGAACCACTGCAGTTGTTAAGTTAGTAACACAGCTGTTAATTGACTCTGGCCTCTTCATTGACTTTGCTTGTCAGAAGGTCACAAAAGGTGATTATATGACCCCAGGCCACTGCAATCGTCATAAATATGAATCAGTTGCCAAGAGTCTGAATTTTAATCACGTGTCCATGGGGATGCTGCAATGGTCGTAAGTATGAAAAACGGTCATATGTCACTTTTTTCAGTGTTGAGGACTACATATATTCTGCCTCAGATCTTCTCCCTGACCCTTTTGTCTTTTAGGACTTGGCTTTTTGTAGTTCAGCTTAGTAATATAATACTTTATGTTTTATTTAAGTACTTTTTAATATTCTGTATTTCACATTGTGATATGTTATTGCATATGACATTTTTGTTTTTATTAGTTCCCTCACAGTTGGTTTTTATGATGCATTCTGTGATGTATTTTTAATCATCTGTACACTGCTTTGTGTCATTCTATTTTGACAGTTTATACACTGAACTATACTGACTCACTGGAGAAGAACCTAATGCTGGGAAAGATCGAAGGCAATAGAAGAAGGGGACGACAGAGAATGAGGTGGCTGGATGGAGTCACTGAAGCAGTAAGCGTGAGCTTAAATGGACTCCAGAAGATGGTAGAGGACAGGAAGGCATGGAGGAACGTTGTCCATAGGGTCGCTGGCTCGGACATGACTTCGCAACTAACAACACATTGAAATAAACAAATTCTGGACTCATCTGGCCTAGATATGTATTCAGGCTGAAAAGGGTACAGGTTTTCTCTAGGAGCCATTGTAATTGAAGAAAAGGGAGGGAAGTGGATTGAGTGCAAGTTAGCCAATGTGGCTGGGTTGAGAGATGGCTCCTTCAGGAGGGGCTACACAGTTGCTTTAAAGGCAGGTGGTACCTACCCACTCTTGAAAAAAAGTTTATCATGAACAGATTTCAGCTACTACCCCTTATCCAACTGCCCAAAAGAGACAGGAGGGGCACAAATCCAATCAACAGCAGGAAGAACTCATGCTAAGGGTACCCTTTCTACTTCCTCAGTTTCTACAAACTCAGAAAATTTCAGATGATCTCTTGAAGTGTTCCTTAAGTCATCTCAGCAAACTGTCCAACTCTGAACAAATGCAAGAGATTTTGTCAAGCTACAAAATCTGTAAAAGCATCACAAAAATGTGTGAGTCTGCTGCACTTAGCAAAAGGGAATGGGGAACCCCAACAAGATTGCCGAACAAGAGTCTCCCAAAGCATTATAGTGTGGAGAAATATGCAAAGAAAAAATTGTATAATGAATTAATGTACCTGTCTGCACAGCTGTGTCTTTCTGAGGAGAGAAGTTAGTTTTCTTTCTGTCATTTGTTTCATTATTAGTCTCTGCAAAACAGATGATGTTCTGATGATTAGGAGTCTCTAAAACCCTATTCAAGTCAATGTAATTATTCTCCTTTGTAATATCACCTAAAGAGAAGAAAAGTCAAAGAATACTCCAACTCTATACTTAACATTAGTTTAATGCTGAATTTAAACCTTTGTTTTTGTCAACACTTTTAGCATAAATAGCAATAGCACTTAGACTTATATATCACTTCATAGTGTTTATAGCCCTCTCTAAGCAGTTTACAGAGTCAGCATATTGCCCCCAACAATCTGGGTCCTCATTTTAGTGACCTTGGAAAAATGGAAGGGTGAGTCAACCTTGAGCTGGTGAGAATCGAACTGCTAGCAGTCAGCAGAATTAGCCTGCAATACTGCATTCTAACCACTGCGCCACCACAGCTCTTTTATCACTTAGTAAGGCAGGTGGAGGAGTAGGAAGAAGGAAATTACATGTATATGCATGTGCATTAACTTGTGCATACTTATGAAAATATCACCCCAATATCTGCCAATAAATGGGTCTCTTCAACCAAAAAGATGGCCCAGTCTAGGTGCACAGATTACAAAAGACCAGCATTTTCATCTTTTGTTTTTTTAAAGAACAGTGTATGTGTAAAATAAAAGAATTCCATACAAACATACAGAAGTATATTCTAAAATGAAAAAGTGAGGTGATACTATATTGAAAAAATGTTAAGATTCTGCTTACTTGTATTTAAATTTAGTTAAAATACAGCATAAATAGGAGACTGTATTCAAAGTATTTTCCAAAACATTTTCCAAAATCTGCTGTTTGGGAATCTTTTACTATGTGTTCTAAAGATGTGTCTCACATCAAAGAACATAGAAACATATTTTAATTCACTTCTGTATTATTTTTAAGTATGATACTTACCACCACCAAGATTCTTCTGCAGTTTTGAAGTGTCATGTCCTTTCTGAGCCAAATCTTTAATTCGCTGCTCTTGCTTTAATCTTTGAGCTAATTCTTGAGCTTTTTGCATTGTTTGATACAACTCATTTGTTTTAAGGGCCATGATTTCCTAATAGGATAAAAAAAGTATAGATACTCAGCAAAAGCATACTGTAAAAATAAATACTAAACCTATTTAAAACACTATTTCTGTTTGTATGTTATAAGATTTTTTAAAAAAAGACTCTGTATGAGTGTCTGAAAGAGATAAAGTGTTTTTAAAGATTTTTCTAATGCGATGCTGCCAAGAAAAGTAGATGGTAAATAGCAACTACAAGTGAAAAGGGACAAACAGAACTGAGAAACTAAATGAGAGAAATATATCAGAACATTATCCTGAGCACGGCAATAAACCTCTCTATGAATGCACATACACATCATGAGCTTAGCAACCAATGATTCAAGGAAGAGGATCAAACAAGAAAGTTGTTTTTATTACAAATGTGGAACATGCTTTTTTAATACAAAGCGTCACCTATTACAGAATCTAGAAATCTAGTCATATTTATCAGTCAGCACCAGGGTTTAAACCCTGTATCTCTTTCTCTTGCCCATATGTAGTAATAGATTTTTGCCATCTGTTTTTAAGTCTCGAATATTGCACAGTGTTTTGATAAGTTTTGTTTGGGCTTAATTCTGGCCTTGCTAACCTGAGCCCTCACTGAACAAGCAAACAAGGACAAAAACATAAATAAAGAATTCAGGAATAGCTTGTTGCTTAAGTGGAATTTTTTCAATTTCACCTAATCTTTGATATTTCTTCAACCTGAGGGTAAATAAACCCAGCTTAAACAGAAACCTATCAGATAGGCATAAATAATATTTTGGCCCAATCCTATGAAGATTTCTTAATAATTTTTTAAAATCTCTCCAATCCCTGCAATTTCACCAAACTTTATCCTAAAGTATCTTCAGAGCTACGAAGCCATTGAATCAGAGCCCTTCTCTTCACTGTGCTTTTTAATAAACAGAAAGTTCTCATCTGCACCAAATACCACTTATCTGAGGCTGATGTGGATTGCTAGTTTATTGCCATGGAACATGTGAATGTTTACCTCTTTTTGTTTCTGCTTTAGCAGATCATCTTCAAACTGTTTCTTCATCAATTCCTGTTCTCTGGCAAGCCGGCGCTCTTCTTCTTGTTCTTCCAGCCTTCTTTGTTCCTCTTCCATCTGTTTCTTCTTTCGCTTTTCT